TACGCCAGAACCAGGAAGCTTTACTGTGAGAGCTGTGGTTCTCTGGCATTTCCTGAGGAAGAGGCCAGGGCCCTGCTGTCTGCAAACACTTTCTCCACGCCCACCAACTCTCGCAGACACCCACCCATACTGCAGCCTCTGCCCAGAGGACCCGGACCTGCACTTTTCAGGAATATACTCACACTCCTTCCAAACCTGCCACTTCTTGGAGCTGAGGCAGTCAGTTACCTCAGAGAGAGAAAAGAGAAACTACTGAGGGAGGCGGGGCACAGAGTCGGGGCCAATGAGGAAAGGAGGCAGTGAGCTCAGCTTGTCCTGAAAGGGAGAGAGTGCCTGAAGCGCCAGCATGCGGGATAGCGAGGGTCCTGAGCCCTTTGGCTGCGCAGGCTGTGCTCTCTCCGGTGCCATGCCCGCCACCGTGGAGCGGGAGTTCGACCAGCTGAATGCACAGCATCGCTGGCAGCCGCTGTACCTGGAAATTCGGAATGAGTCCCATGACTATCCTCATAGAGTGGCGAAGTTTCCGGAAAACAGAAATCGAAACAGATACAGAGATGTGAGCTGTGTTAAACTGCAAACTACTGAAAATGGTTATATTAATGCCAGCTTAGTTGACATGGAAGAGGTGTAAAGGAGTTATGTCTTAACACAGGGTCCCTTCCTAATACCTGTTGTCATTTCTGGCTCATGGTTTGGCAGCAAAAGTCCAAAGCAGTTGTCATGCTAAACCGAGTTGTGGAGAAAGAATCAGCTACATGGGCACAGTACTGGCCAACAGATGACAGGGAGATGGTGTTTAAAGAAACACGATTTAGAGTAAAGCTCTTGTCAGAAGATGTGAAGTCATACTATACAGTACATCTACTACAATTAGAAAATATCAACAGTGATGAAACCAGAACAATGTCTCCCTTTTATTATACTACCTGGCCAGATTTTGGAGTCCCTGAATCACCAGCTTTGTTTCTCAATTTCTTGTTTAAAGTGAGGGAATCTGGCTCCTTGGACCCTGACCATGGGCCTGTGGTCGTCCACTGCATTGCAGGCATTGGGCACTCTGGCACTTTCTCTCTGGTGGACACCTGTCTTGTTCTGGTGGAAAAAGGAAATGACATTAACATTAAACAAGTGTTACTGAATATGCAAAAATATTGAATGGGAGTGATTCTTACTCCAGATCAACTCAGATTGTCTTACATGGCCATAATAGAAGGAGCAAAATGTATAAAAGGAGATTCAAATATTCAGAAACAGTGGAAAGAGCTCTCTAAGGGAGACTTATCTCCTGCTTTGGATCATTCACCAAGCAGAGTCATGACTGAGAAATACAGTGGGAACAGAATAGGTCCTGAGGAGGAGCAGCTGCCTAGGGAGAGGTGCACGGGGCTGTCCTCTAAGACACAGGACCCCGTGGAGGGAAGCAACGAGAGTGTTGTACAGAAACACATTCGAGAGGGCAGAAAGGCAGCCATGGTTCAGAAGGTGCAGCAGATGAAACAGAGGCTAAATGAGACTGAACAAAAAAGAAAAAGGTGGTTATATTGGCAACCTGTTCTCACTAACATCAGGGTTATGTCAGTCATTGTGGTTGGCGCTTTGGTTAGCTGGACACCATTCTTTCAGCAGTATGTCCTCAGCAGACGCTGACCCCAGACCCGCATGGTGCAGTCAGCTCAACCTCACCAGAGAGCCCAACACCTCAGGACTCACCACTGCAGGTTCCTCTGAAAGCCAAACTGTAAATCGCTGTCTCAAATAAAGACATTTGTGTTTGTTAAAAACTGGTACACCACACAGCTGTGTTCACACATGTCCAGCGTGGTATCTCACCTGACCAACAATGAGAAATCCTTTATTGCAAGGACTCGCTTTTGAATGCTATCTGGATCTTAACCTGCATTTGATATAAGCAATAAATATTGTGGTTTTATCTAAGTTTGTCTTGGTTACTTTTCTCTTGTTGCTGGGACAAAATACCTGATGCCCAAAATTAAGGAAGGAAAGGTTTATTTCGCTTACAGTTTGTGGAGGTTTCAGTCCTTACTTGGCAGATTACAAGGCAGAGTGGCACATGGCAGAGGGCTGCAGCTCATGGCAACAGACACAGCAAAGCAACAACCAGGACACACTAGGGAAGAATGGGGAGGAATGGCCTCAAGCACCCTTTTCCTCTCCCTTACATATGCAAACTGTCCACCAGGGTGGGGGTAGCTCTCATACCCACAATCATTCAACTCTAATAGCCTGCCCCATGGTCGCATGAGGCTTTGGAGGGGACACACAGACATAAACCATAACAACGTTATTAATGGAAAGAAGATGACTGTTAAATAATGTGTTTAATGTAATGCACTGTTGACGTGGGCATCAAGATTTTATACACTTAACCATTTCAGGGTAAATATATTTTGTAAGTACCTATTTAATCTTACTTTTGTAGTTAAATGTACATTTAAAAAGCTCAATTTAAAAATATGTTACCATAAGAAAATAAATTGTATGTTGATTCAGTTGTACTGGATACATTTTCCCGTTTCCTAGAAAGGTTTGGTATGAGCAGTTGTAACTCTGAATAAGCAATTGCTACTACATATTTGAATTTCCTGCATTTTTTACAGTTTTCCCTGTTTTTAAAAGAAAAAGAAACAAATTTTTCCTAGAAATACCTTTGAAGGGAAAGTCTCTTGGCTGAGAAAGTTAAGTAACAGTCAGTGAAGACTTTGTAAACAAATTGGTTTCTGTAAAGCACATGATGAATGTGTTCATTTTTGGAGAGAGTTCTAATGTAATCACCCTAATCTATAACTGGAATAAGTTGCGATTTAGGAAGTGAAAGGCAGCATTTTATGATCTGTGATTTCAGTTCACCAGACTGGAGCTCTGAAGTGAAAAATTTCAAGCTCTTTCCACTTCAGTAAATAGTATGATGATGTGGAAAAAAAATGAAAGGGAGAGAAAACACAGGGAAAACAGTCCTTGAAGCAGCACATTTCAGGAGTGAGCTAGCTTATATTAGATTTCTGCACAGGGCTGGGCTGAATGCCTGCTGCCTCACTAGATGCCTGACCACCCGTGATGTGGCTCCTGTCCCCATTTCTCTCAGCCTCCCACTGAACAGTGTTAGACTCTGAGGAGCATTTGAAGCTAACCCACCCCTTGGAACTAGAAAGAAACCACTGAACCTGAGCCAGACTGTGTAGTGCAGCCCTCCTCTCCTGATGACTCTTCAGGTCAAATGAGGCTCTCGGAGATCAACTCATTGAAGCCTATTTGTGCTTTTTTCCTTTTTAAGGAAAATCAAGATAAGAAGGGGTTGGGAACGGGAACTCTGAGGTCTCTGAGTCCAATATTAAACATTTTGCTAGTATCTGGCTCACTTGAGGTTTTTACATCTAGAGATCAGAATGCAGATGAAAACAGTTTCCATGATCCTATAGGAAATCAGTCCAGTGCTCCCACTGCAGAAACCTGAATGTCTGTCCTACTTCCTGATGAGACAAATGGCAAATGGCAAAATCCAAGCAGCCCATCATTCCTCCACTGATGCTCCAGGATGAGCAGTTCCCATCCAGGATCAGAGTTTTCCACCAGGACCATCAGTGGCACAGGGGCAGACACTACAGAAGGGCCCTTCCAGACTGCCCTTTTGTCTCCTACTAGTCCTAATTGCATGGAAAAATCTTGAATTATGTTCCAGGGATTTTTGAAGACACTAGTTTTACAATCCAGTACATTACGAGTACCAGTGTAAATTAAGCACCTAGTTCTTCCAGGATAAAAGTAAGGAGGCTTCTCTTGAGCTCTCATTTGAGCTGATAAACCAGATCACCAAGAAAGTGAAATTGAAATGTGTGTGGACTCTCTCTGATGTACTCAAGGCACTTGTGTTTGTGGCAGGCATTGTTTAAAGTATCTCAAGGTCTTGCTGTACCATTGGCAAATCAAGAGAACAACTCTTCCAAAGTGGCAGAGTGTATCCAATGATGCTCAGGAGTACATGGAAAGATTTTATTATAATCCAGAAAATGATTGGATGGGAATGCAGGATAGAAGACAAGAATTTTGGGCAGAGTCAAATGTCATGAATGTGCATAAAGCACTTGAATGGGATCAACTATGAAGTCTTGTCCACACCACCCTCCAACAATGTCAGCTCTAAGTACCATACAGTTTGGGAATCCTTTTGTGAAGAACACATTGGATGGAGCGTGTCCTGAGCCTATGACTTGACTGACTGAAGAAAGCAGCTCTTGGAGTCTGAAAGAGGTCCAATTGACGGTGTGGAACGACAGCTACATACTTCACAACTCATTCTTAAAGTGAGAAATAAAATGGAGACATTTCCTTGTCTGCCTTATGTCCCCATTCAGGCTCCTACAGCTCTTTAAGCAACTTTAGCATCACAAGTCATCTGTGCAGATAGTGCCACCTCAGGAAAGTTTTATCCTGAAACTTGGGCTTATATGCATCCATCTCAGGATGGTATTCAAGTGCCTGTTTCTGCAGAGGGCAAAATTTACCACATCCTTTGCAATTTTTTTTTATAAATCTAAGCTTGAGTATAAATGTAATTTTTCTAATATTGAGAGTTGAAAACCAGTCTCTTGAGGAGAAATATAATAGGAGAAAGGAACATATGAACAGGAAAATGTTCTGTGACAGTATAAGAAGCAAGACACATTTGTTTCATGGAACAATCCAGGATCTGGTAATGGAATCAGCCCCACAGCTTTGACTCTTTCAACCTGTGAAAAGTGTGCTACCATGTTTGGACAAGGCAGTTATTTTTCAAAGGAAGGAAGTTCTAAGAAGTCCTCTGCTCTCATAAGTTCTAAGAAGTCCTCTGAAGCCATCTATTTTTGGTTTGGGGCCTAACGGCTGACAGACAGGTGCACAATGGGCAGTCGTGGTTTGAGAAGTCCCCTCCAGTCAATCCTGGCATCCTCAGTGACCTGTGTGACTCTTGATAATTTCTTTGACCCTCACATTTTTGTCCTTTAGGATGATCAGAGTTACCCTTATTTTGTCATCTAATATGAACTCTTCAGTAACACTGTTTCCATCTGAAAAATCATGGTACTGCTATGATTTGATATGAACCCACAGCAGGTTTTGAATGGGGGGGGGACTGGGTAGGAATCAGAATTGGACAATGCTAGGCCACTTTTCAGGCCCATTTTTCAAGTCCTAGAAAGTGTAATTTTTTAAAAGGAAATCAAGTTCTTAGAGAACTACTTATTCTTTGTTTCCTAAGTGTTGTTAGTACACTCAGTGTGGGAAATGCTAAGGTTTGCTTCCCACCATACAGCTTCTCCAAATTGTTTATTGGATTGAAATTATTGTTAAAGATGAAAATCCAACCGCTGTTTCTGCCTTTCTAGATGCAGCTGGTTCCCTGCCTGACTTTCTTCTTTATTCCTCTTACTTAACAGAAATGCACACTTGGAAATTGTGCCCTGTTAGAGCACTGTTACATGAATGTGCTAGCGCTTCAGTTCAGAGAGGTAGCAGCTGGATCTACTTCACTTAGACAAAGAAAATATCTGGGTTCATTGATGTGGAAGTGGGTGTTCACAAAAGAACTTACCACAGTATTGTTCAGATGCCAGGTCTCTTATTCTGTTTGTAGTTGCTTCATTAACGCCAACTTTTCAGGAACTTCTGTGTTGCTTAAGGAGATGCTGCTATGCTGGTGTCTTAGTTGATCCATCTACCACTGGAACTCAAGTAGTTGAAGCACCTAGCACAGCTTCCATGCAGTTTTTTACTTTTGCCCCAGTTGATCCTATTGTTCACTTCCATAGTCAAGAACCAGGAAGCTGTGACTGGTGTTCTTTCATTTGGTAGTAACTTGATCTCAATCTTTTCAAGTTAAGACACTTCACCACTGATTATTTGATTTTTATGAGATGTCCCATTTTTTTCTCGTTAAAGGAATTGAAAGCTTTAGACATACCTATTTTTAATAAAACTAAGCAAAAGTAAAGTCATGGGAATTCTTTTTGAAAAAGCAGCACATATTAATAAATGTACCAGCTCCCCACTAGCAAGATCATTATGTACTGCAAACATTTACTAATAAAATTTAAAATTTTTAACAAATAGAAAATAAATAGAAAACATGAGGGACACAAAAATAACCCAGGAAACTCGCTGTGACTGACCATAGGGGGTGGAGGAGCAGGAGGCCTGCAGAGGGCCAGCTCACAGCTCTGAAGAGAGATCTTTCTCTTCTGTCCTCAACCCTCCTGGAGTCCACAAGCCTCCTGCCCTGTGGTATTTTTAGTTCCTTCTAGGTGACTTGTTGTTTTCTCACAGTTCTGATGGGGTGGAAAGGGAAAGCAGCCCGTGTGCTCTTGGTGTCACAACATCCTCTAAGCCAGCCTCCCACTCCTCTCCGTCCTGTGCTGGGTCTCCTTTTCCTCTTCATGTTCACTCTGTGGGACTCCTATACTTTTCAATAGGTAAACTCATCCATCCAAGCAAGACACGGAAGTGCCTAATGTCTCAGCAATGAGTGCCCTTGTTGTAGGTGCCTGTGGCCTTGGGAGCCATAACTTCACTCAGTGTGCTGGAGAGAAAAGACTGTGCAGTCATGAAACATGTCCTCCGTCACTCAGTTGGTCTCCATTGCCAATCCATAGTACAAAACGGTCACTACTTAAGACAGAATTATTATTGACTGGGAAAAAGCACATTGCAAACTTGAAAGATTCTATGACGGAATATTCTCTGTGGGAAGAGTCAACCCCACATAGCACTTGAGTCTCCTTCAGGTGTCCTTTCAACTAGCCCTGTCTCAGCACACATGAAAACATTATAATGAAATGACTGATGAAGAAGACTGGGCATTTAATAGCAGCTAATGAAAGCAAAATTGACTTTAAAATACATCCCTTATGAGGGTTACATTAAATGTAATTCACTAACACTTCTTAAAACATTGCCTGATAACCACATTACACAATGTCATATCATTTAGGAAACATGAAAACTTAAAATTTGGAAAATAAACCATTTAAGAAGATGAAAAATATACAAAACAAATAGGAAAGAAGTGATAATATTTAAAATAAAAGTTAGGAATAAGACAAACAAGAATTGAAAGAGATTTCTAAAAATAAAGCCCATTCTTTCAAAATTAGCAAGATAGCTCTTTGGTAAAAAATGACCAACTAAAAAATAAATGGGTGAAGAGGGTACTAGAACATGAAAACCTGTACTTAATACTATCCAAAAAAAATCAGTTCTGTAGTAAAAAATCTAGTTTGTATAGAATAAAAAGGCCCACACATGACAAAATCTTGCTAAAGTACAAGTAAGGAGATCAGCTCTTTCAGATGACAATGTCATAGCAATAAAGGGACAAAGGCAACATGGAATCATAATTGAGAATTTGAGACAGACTCCAATGGCTGAACATGTGACATGGAGACAGTACACTCCAATGAGGAGGGACAGAGAGCAAATGGCCAGGAAAGATCCCTTCCTGGGTGACAGACACTAAACTTGACCCACTGTACCTTCAGATGGAAGAGAAAAAAAAAAATCTTCTCTTGCCTATGTTTTTTCCTTTTAGTCTGTTCTATCAAAATGTATTCTTAGTCCTGAACAAAAGTGGGGACCTAATGCAGCAGATGCCTAACATGTAAGGTAGATTCTTGAATCTATAATATAATAAAAAAGGGTGTTTGCAAACTAGAAGTAAAAAGGAATTTCTTGAAATAAATCTCATAAGCACGTCAGAAGGGAGAAATTGATGATTTTATTACATTAAATGAAAATTTTCACAATTAGTCAATGATCTATAAAAACACAAACATACTTGTGTGAAAATACTTAAAATATTGAAATACAATGAATGATTGATATCCAGACTGTTACATGTGAAATTTGGTAAGAAAATATAGAAGACGAAGAAAAAAATGATGACATATATCATCTGGCAGACGATAGATGAAGAAATTGAAATGCTTAACAATTATGCAAAGAGATTTACAACTCATAATAACAGAAGCTGCTGGACAAACACAGCAGCAGTCACTTAGCGCTTCACTCCCAAGTGGCAGCACTGATCAAACTGTGAGACAGCGCTGTTGGTGGTTGAGGATGTGGAAGACGACAAAACTGGGATCTACCATTCTCAAGCTTATCTAAGAGAAGCTTAGTTAGTTGGTTTTGGAATTGGGGATACCCCATGGAGGAAAGCACACCCCAGAGGAGCACTTGGGGGCTGTTAGACTTCGGATAAGGGAGACACAGCCACGTGGGAAGGTCTTAAAAATTCCCAGTCTAGGAGCCAAGTGGGGAGCTGGCAGCTCTGCAGTCTACACTGTGCAGCACACATGTGTGTCCTTCCGTAGAGCAGCGAATCTTGCACTGTGGTGTGTGCTGTGGGCTCCACAGGGCCTCACTCTACATCATGGGCTCTGGTGCAGGAATCTACAGAGCTGAGATGAAACCAGTTAGAAGAGGTGACGTACAAAAGCCAAGGAGACCGCAATGGATAGATACTGACTTGTCTTTCTTTGACCAACCACTTAAATCATGTGATCTTGTATTTAACATGTGGGCAACCTTTTTTATATTTCTATTAAGAACAGGCATTGAGAGAATACAAACATTCTTCAGACCATCTGAGGGTGTGGGGACATATTCTTCCTTGGGTGTCCCTTGTCACATTTTAAATCTGTAAACAATATCTGGAGCAAATGCAGTCACATATCAACCTTTAGAAGTGAGCAGGCTAAGTGTGCATAGTTTCATCACATTATTCTTGTGCTTCCCCAGTTAGAGTCTTCCACAGGGAAGGTTTTGTCCCTATAAGACAGCAGCCTGGCCAGTCGCCTGACCTCAGGCCCTTATAGAGACCCATCAGGAAAGAAGTCAGGGTCACCAGGGACAATCAGCTACTCTGCAACGGTATGAAGCAAGTCGTATGTAGGTGAGGGGCCTCAGTGACCATGGAGATGGACAGGGCTGGTTTAGGGCTGGATGTGGGCTGGGTAGGGCAGGGTTAGGGCATCAGGTAAGGTCTTTTGGCGCTTGGGCGGTTGCAGGCTGTCATCTTCTCCAGCACTGGAGTCTGAGAAAAGCCTTTGCTGTCCCCAGGGTCCAGCAGTGGGATTCGGGTGGTGTCCTGCCCTCCAGGCCTTCACGTCATGGGACCCTGTGCAGGAACTCCGGGAATCCTCTGCTTGGGCTCTCTCTTTCTTCCCTGAGTACCAACAGAAACCACCCAAAGAAAAATAAATAAGAAGGAGCTGTTAGAAGAGACAAATCAATGAACAGGTTTGTAAGAAACAAACTCTTGTTCTTGACTTTATTCTTTTAGAACTTTAACCTGCTGCCTCTGATGTGTGACAATGGCAAGGGAAGGGTATCTTAAATCCCTGTATTTGCTTTTGAGAGTCATTTCATGTGCAGACCAAACTCAGGGCTGGGTCCTCCCCAGGTGGAGGAACCTGTAGGAAAGGGGATGGCATGGTTCAGGGAGCCCCAAGGGTCCTACATCCCGCCCTGCTCCACCTTGGGACATCCGAAGTCCAGGTGGCTCCTCATATCAGGCTTGATCCAGCCTAAGGGGAGGCCCCTTAAACACAGGTAGGACCCCATAAGGACAGGGAGCATGGGAAAGGGGACAGACTGATGTCATTCTTGGATCTCGCCTAGAGTAGGGGAGGTCTTGAGCAATACCAAGGAACTGACCCTGGTGAAAGCCTGGGTCAAACCCCTCAGTATCACTCCAGAACTGCAAGACATCAGTATCCTGCTGCACCTCCGCAACCAAATTCCTTTTAATCTTTTTGGAGCAAGGCCTCAGTAGGTCACAGAGGCACTCTCTAGAGAACCCAAGGGGTTGCATGGGTCCCAATCCTCTAGTCTGGGGTGAGTCCCATACACTAGTGACAGCACTTCTTTCTCATATCTGAAATCGAGTTCTTATATTTTTAGAGTAATGATGGCCCAAAGAGACAAACTTAACCCATTATTCCCTCAAATATTTACTGTGGTGGATAAGCAAATCCTATTTTTCTTCCCATAATGCACCGTAGCCCAGTGAACTGAAACTCAGATCACACAGGCTCAAATAATTCTGAAACAGTGTCACCAGACAGGAAAAGTGGGGGCTCTTATAGGCTACTGAATGTTGACAAGGAACATGGAATGCATGTCTAATAGAAAATAAAGAAATTAATATATAAAAAGAAGGCAGAGTTCCACAGAACAAGAGTGCTCTCATTTCTTAATGCCCATCACAAGCTTCTGGGCACAGGGTACCATGTAACTCCTGTTTACTGAACAGCAGTTTCTTTGGCTACTCCATACCCTCAGCAAATAAGCAAACAGTTCTGGGAGCAGGCAGGAAATTTTCACTTGCTAGCTCATGAATAGAGAAGGGGAGCTGACTCTCTAACGGCACCTTCTACCCAGCAGGTCTGCAGTATCTATTGTCACTGGGACTCGGGAGGGGTATGGTTTACAAGTTATGCTCAGAGTTGCAACAGAAGGAGAGATTTCTGGGAATCAGATGCCATCTCTTGCCCTCCCTAATAAGGGCATGGTCAAATCTCTCATGGTACTGGTGGCTGTGGGACGTTTTGTTTTTGTTGGTTTTTCATTAATGAGCCTAAGGTGCTCTAGAGTGTCAACATGGGCTGTGGATGCTAAGCAATTGGGCTGGATTGGCCACACCCCACCATGGACACTTGAGATATGTGGTACCTGGGTGGTTGGCAGCGCAAACATGTGATTATCAGCACTCAGGCTGAAATTTTCACAAGCGAGCAGCATGTGACTGGCACCCCTTTAGGGAACAAGGAATTTCAAGGTCCATTTGTGGACACTATTGTTCCAATGACGCTGGCAAAGGATGTAGGGGGCAGCAGGAGGAATTCTACAAAATCCCTGCTTTTGGAAAAGCTTTTTCAGTGTTGCTCTCATCACACTTTTCTTTCTATTTTTCACAAGACCAAGAAGTAGAGAACTTAGTGACAACCATAGCATACCTTCCTGAGTCCTGCACAAAGGTGAACTTTTCGGTTATTCCATAGGTGCTAGAGGGCTAGAGGTCTGCTGTCAGAGAACAAATGAGTGGGTCCTATAAACTAGACTAACATAACCTGCATTCACAAGAGAAAAGAAAACAGGAACTTTTTAACATGTGCATCATGTGTGCACAATACAGACTAGGGGAATAAGAAAGAAATAAGTAATGTAAAGGAGTAATTAAAACTTGGACTTTGAGCATTTTAACAAAAAAGCAATAAATTGTTGGCTGACTTGCATGGAAAAAATGAGGATATTGAATTTTTAAGGTGACAAGTTGTGGGAAGGCAAATGTTATGGTTTGTCTGTGTGTCCCCCCAAAGCCTCATGTGGCCATGGGACAGGCTTATAGAGTTGATTGAGGTGTGAGAGCTACACCCACCCTGGGGTGGATAGTTTGCATATGTAAGGGAGAGGAAAAGAGTGCTTGAGGCCATTCCTCCCTTTCAGTGCTTGTTGCTTTTGCTGTGTTCTGCCGCCCTGAGCTGTAGCTCTCTGCCATGTGCCACTCTGCCTTATAATCTGCCAAGTACGGACTGAAACCTCCACAAACTGTAAGCAAAATAAGCCTTTCCTTCCTTAATTTTGGGCGTCAGGTATTTTGTCCCAGCAATGAGAGAAAAGTAACCGAGACAGCAAATATACAGGAAATCTACTGGCACAGAAAGCCTAGTTCTTACAAGATTTGTTGTGATGTTTCTTCTGGTACTTATGCTAAAGTAGGAGTCTTTGATAATTAACTTCTGTCCTTGCTAGAGATTGAAAGAGGTAGACACCTTTACAAATTTAGGTCCTGCATTCAGGCTAAGAGGGGGGAGAGTAGGGAGCTTTCATTAAATCTGTTTTTCTCAACTGTTTTTAGCTCAAATAATCCCAGGCTGTATGGCACCTTTTAGAGTGCCATATTCTGGAATCCTTCACCAGCTCATGACAACTCAGGCCCCATGGCCTGACCAGAAGAACTTGGGACACTGGGAGCTTGGGCAGATGGTCTGACCTCTTCAAGGTCTCCTTAGGCAGAGATGGAGGACACAGAACACCTCTAACATTCAAAGTGCCTCTGGCTACATTTCCCCCATTTGTAGACACAGGATGTCAGAGGCCTTCAACATCAGCAAATATCAATTTGTGTATCAGCTACAAATTATCATCACATTTAGTGGTTTTGCCACTTTGCTCACCAAATTTACAGTTGTTTGTGATTTGACTAATTTCACTCTGGACATGCCATTTGCCCACTCAGGTATGACTGTATAAAACTGACTGGAACTTACTTTTCCTAAAAATCCCATATGTTAAGAGCTGTTTGATCATATCTGAAATATAATACAGACTATCAACAGTTATTCAAAAAATAACTATTGACCATAATTTAAAACTATTTCAAGGTAGCTGGCTCTAGCATGGTCCGGAGAAGACTGATCCCTGTCTCTTCGAGAACTTTCCATTGAGATTCATCTTTTACTCAGACTCCCTTTTCCAGTTGAAGACAACCTCAGCTTTCTCAAACCTTTGCTTGCTGATTCCCAAGGCAAACTCTCAGGCTGGCCATGTCTAGGACTGCAGTTCTAATCAATATGTCAGTGGTTGGAATAGTCACTGCTATTTTGATTTCTGTACTCTCTTTTGCAACAAGCAGACAATTGGAAACCTTTTTCATCTCCCACAGAGGAACACAAATGGCTCAAACAAAGTGGGGAAAGGAGACTTTTTGACCCTGGGGTTAACTGCTCATCAACCAATCAGCACTGGAAATCAAGTGCACTGAAGAGGGTACAGAGCACAATAAGCAATCATCACATATCTTGCTTTCCCTTTTCTTAGACTGTCTATGGTATCTTTACAGCCTTAGATCCATTAATTCAATAGAGATTTATTAAATATCCTCCTAAAGCCCTGCACCATTCTAGATGCTGTAGAAATAGCAATGAAGAAAATTGGCCAAATTTTGCCCTTATGGGATTCCCATATTTTCAAGCCAAGGAGACTTTGCTCCTTTCTCTACTCACCACATGGAGGCAAGAACAAAGGAGAATGCTGATAAACCTGGAAATAAGGCCGCAGAGTATCAGAGAAGGAAGCCTTGGGGAAGGTGAAGATGTGGGAGCCAGCGGTCATGTTGTAAAAGGACACGGCTCCAGCCTCATAGCTCAGAACAATCCCCACCAGCAGGGGTCGCTCACGCAGCTCAAGGACAGTGCGCGGAGAGGTCAGTGCTACATAGCCATTCTCTGGGCACAGTCGGATGGCCCAGAATCCAAGCTCAGGCTCCTGCTTCATGCCAAGGCCTCTCTGCACATTTTCCATACAGACTCCCACATCCCAAGCTGTTCCTTCTCCAACATCCACTTCGAAGTAGTGTTTTCCTGAGGTGAAGCCCTCATAGCCCAGGACACAGGGGAAGGCTGTAAACCTCCTGGAAGAAATTTCAAGATTCTGCTGGCTGCATCCACGAGACACTTGTCTCTGATCCTCAGACAGGTTTAGGGCAGGATGAGCTGTATTTGGATCCAGAGTCACACTGACTGCAACACAAATAAAACCAAACATTTCTTTTTATACTCAGAACACTATTTTAAATAAAACCAACCTGTATTCAAATCCAATAATTACTTTTTACTAGTTATGTTAGCCACTCCCATAAAATAAAAACCTTAATATCTACTGTAGAGAGTGCTGTGAAGAATCCAGTGGGTTACTTTTTGCCTATTGTTAGTAGAATTCCTGGGACACAGTCATTTCCTACTTTTCCATCAACTTTATCATCACTTAGTCATTCAGAGTTGCCAAGTACCAGAACTAAGAAGAACATGGTTCCCATCCTGTCCAAAACCCCTTTTCTCTCCTGACAGCCTCTAGGGTCATCGAACAGTGGAGCTGCAGAGAGCCCTTCCCCACCTCCATTTTATAGCTAGATAGACATGTAGGAAGAAATTATGTAAAAACAATATAAACAACAAACCAAATGTTATGTTCATATACATTTTCATTATTCAAAATATTTATAATAACAAGGCATACCTGCTACATATTTTATAATATATAAATTAGAAGCCAGTCCTCTATATACTAATACATTTTATGTTCTTTACAATACATAGTCTAAAATACATTAAATTAAAAACATGCAACCTATATATTTTATATACATGGATTAAGCTTTGTGTCTATGTATGTTACATGGTATTAGAGGTATAGGTTTCTCTCTCTTCAGATGTAAATACAATGAGTTGAGGCATGGTTTTATTATCAACCAGACAAAATCAAGCTGTAGGGCAAACATAAAATGTATCTCAACAGCACTGGCAGAGCAGTGACTATGGTAAGGAAGCAAGACTCTGTTTATAGAACTTACTAAAATATAGGAACTCACTTTCCACATCAGCAGGTGTGATGCATAAGAAAACCTTCCCCACCTACTTAGCAAGTGCCTCCCACATCACATATGCGATCCTAATGCTCTTAGACCACAACTGGCAGTTAAATTATTTTTACCTACTTTCATAATGTCAGAGTTCCTCTTTGTGCCATGGGTTACATGTACAGTAGTTAAATTTATGTCAACTACTCTAGGTAATCAGCTCTTATCTGACCACATGATTCATGTACAATGATGACTTGGATATTATCTTTAAACTATGCTATCAAATTTGTTTGATATATAGATATAGGTATAGATATGATATAGATATAGATATATCTATGATATAGATATGTATAAATATGATATAGATATAGATACATATAGATATGATATATATCTATGATATAGATATGTAATACATAGGTATACAATTTGTTTATCCTGAGAACACAACTGGAGTTTAACATTGGAAAGTAAATTGTCAAATCCCTGCATTGTGAGATTATAGGAAGAAACTACAGGGCTCTCTCCCTGAATGAATCTAATTCATGGATGAAATTCAATACCTAATGAGGACTGTGCTCTTTCCATTCAAAAGTCACCAACTTCCTGGATTTGACACTCTATCAAAAAGCAGAATTAAAGTGTAAAATGATATTTACAAAGCAGAAGACCATATTAGCAACAATAAGTTCCCAGAAATTAAAAATGATAGAACCAAATAAAGAAAAAAAAATTTTTAATCAGGAATCAAACTCAGGACCTTGCGCTTGCCAAGCAAGGTGCTGTGCTATATCCCCAGCCCCCAAATAAAAATTCTTAAATCACAGATAATCACAGATAAACCAGAGTATTTGAAGGGCTGATAGATACACAATACAAAACAAAACAAACAAACAAAAAAAAACCTCAACTTCACTGGTAAAATGGGAGACACTGAAATTAAGAGCATAGTTGGTACCATTTCAAATATATTAGGCAAACATTATAAATTATACACAGAAAAACAGGGGGGTGGAACAGCAATTGTGCTCTTGTTTTTCAACTGAAGAGGTATAATCTCTTGATCCATAGGATCTAGTAACCTTAGTATATAAATCCCAAATATCAGCACTTTCTCTCAAGGTCTTATTCACTAAATTACATGTTTTCTTTACAAGGTCTAAGGCAGAATCCTGTGACCAAAGGCATCAATATTTCTGAAGCAAAAGTGTATTCAAAATAAGTAGAATAAAGGATTTCAAATGGCCTCGTATCAGCACAGTTCAGATGAGTAACCTGGGGCAGATAGACTCAAGGTGAGAGGGGCCTATCCCTGGAGCCACCCTCTTACCTGTACAATTTCTTAAGTGTGAGCAGGGCCTGAGAATTGCTTCTGACCAGCAGAATAAAGTAAGATGGGGGAATATAATTTCTGTGCTTTGGATTTGTCATTTCTACTCCATCTTGCCAGCAGATTTGCTATGGAGAATCTTTCTCCTGACTTCATGCTAAAAAAGTAATTGACCATGTGTGATGCTCATGTGTAAGGGGCTGATAGGAGGCCTGTGGAGCTGAGGCAGCCTCCAGCCACAGCCAGCAAGAAGCCAGAGCCTTATATACTGCAACACAAGGGAAATGAATCCTGCCAGCAAGTGAGAGAGCAAGGGCGAGTACCTTCCTTAGACAAGTGTCCAGATGGGAACATAGCCTGGCCACACCTTCACTGAATCCTCCTGAGACCCTTCAGAAAGGAACCCCAAGCTGTGCCAAGACTCATGACTCATAAAGTCTGTGACACATATTTGCACTGTTTCACATACTTTTAGTAGTTTGTTGTAAGCAATAGATAACTCATGCAGTCACCAGATCATTTCAAGTTAAACCCAATTTTGCAGCCAAATGAATGTTAAAATTTCCAAAGCTTTTGTGTCAATTTTGTGATTATGGATATGAACTTTTGCAACTATAGAGACCAGCGTTTAACAAAAAAGAAGGAGCAGAAGACCCAAGCATGTAGCACTAATTCTTATTTCCATTCATGGTTCTAAATTTAATTTTGTTACATGAGTCACGTTCCTAAAACTATTCAAACCTAGTCTATACTACTCACCCACCCTGCTTGCCATGCTCTAAGAATTTGGAATATTCACAAGAATCATTCCAGTCACATCTAATACCACACCCTGGGGGTCAGCACCTTCCAGACATGTGAATGGAGCGCATTTTCAGCAAAACTCCATGAAATGAAAACTGAAATGAATATACTCATTTCTCAGATATGGGAAGTGAGTGATGGCAGTTGCTGTCATCACAGTAGACAGCAGGAACTGGAAGGTCCGACAGGTGATCGGGATGCAGTACATATTCAGCATCTGAGCACACAGGACAAGGACAGTATGATAGCTTTGCTGAATATAACTTCACAATCTGACAGCACTGAGAGAGTCCTACACTCAAATACCTTGATAACGTCTTAATATTTTCTTCACATCCAAGTAAAGCTCAGCAACATCACACACAGTCTGAATCACCAAAGGAAAGGCTTCAGATGTTTCCAGCTTTACAAAACTAGTCCTGGAAGAAGCAGAGGCAGAGACTCCTCAGTGCTCTTCTTCATTCAGTTCTGTCCTCCCAGACCCTCCCTTCCTGCGATCACATGGGACTCACCTGCTCAAGGTGCCTTTCACATCCTGTAAGGAACAAAAAGCAAATGTGTTAGCATCAGGATTCCATGGGCTGTGGCACGGGAGACACTGTCTGTAAACACAGCTCCCCAAGAAGGAAAGAGGGACCCAGCCTGTGACACTGCTGCAGAGTCAGGAGCAACGATCCCACCCGGCCTCTGCCCACTCAGCAGGGGACTGTGATGTGCCTGGGGAAGCCTGTGGGGAATAGTAATGGTCAGAGTGGTATCAACCTGTGGCTGCTGGGGACATGGGCAGATTTGCACAACCTCCCTCTGGCAAGACTAGATCTCAGAGACCTCATATCCTGTAGAGTGCGCTCATGTAGAGATCACTTGTCACCAAAGTCCTCTATGGAAGCTGCATACACAGCTACTGAGACTAAACCACCAAAGCAGTGGCAGCTGGTATCCCTGGGTGGTGGAGCAGATGTACTACCCCTTCAAGTAGAGTGTGACCTCCAGTTCCACTAGAGGGAGCTAGAATTAACAACTGCAGGGGTTTATCTTAATGGGTGCATCTCTTATGCAGCTGTAAGAAACCCCACAGGGGTTCTGGAACAAGCACTGATTTGGGTACCACAAATCAGGGAAAAATTTGTCTCTCTTTGGGCTTCTCCACTGTCACCATCTGTCATCTGGAGCAGTATTTTAGGAGAGAGAAAAGGAGACAGGGTCTGTGTACATGGGCCAAGGGGAAATGATGACATAAGCTATCCATTAGAGAGGGAATTTTTCTTTTTTTTCCACACTGCTGGGGATTCAACCCAGAGCTTTCCCCATGGTAAGCAAGTTCTTCACCACTGACCAACAACTTTAGTACATATTTCTAAATTTTTATTCCATATTAAGTCTCACCACAACACTCAGGATAGTCTCACATTTGCAATGCTCCTCCCTGAGCCTCCCCCACTAGCTAGGATTACTACCATACCACGGGGAAGTGAGCTTTTATATTTCACATAAAGGAATCCCATAGACTAATGGAGCTCCCCTGATGATATTGATGAAACTATAGAAGAATAATTACCTAAATTCCCCACACTACTATGCACATTGGAGTGGAAACAGGCCTTGCCCATCTTCCCGTGCTTCCTGACCATTCTCTTCCCAACAGCTCAGTATCAGAATCCTCTTTTCCTTCTCCAAGTCTACAGCCTCACCTGCAGCAGGTTCTGGTCTGAGCCCTGACATTTTGCCTCCAGCTCAACCTTATGGTCCTCAAGTTCATCGCTCTTCTGCTCCAGCTTTGCCTTACTCTCCCTTAGTTTCACCAGCATCTTCTCTTCTTCTTTTTCCAGCCTCCAAAGAAAAGACTTCTCCTCCTCATGCAGAAAAGTATGGAGATTCTTAAAGTCAGATATGATTTTTTGTCTGTGAATCTCTATTGTATCCTAGAACCAAGAAAGTTTGATCAATAGTATAAAGAAAATAAGTATTCAAACAACATAAATGGATAAACAAAATGTAGCATAAATGGAGAAGATCCATCACAAGTAGTTATTTAAAAAGAATAAAAATCTGCTCCATGCTATAAGAAGCATGAACCTTGCTTGAATCAGAGCTTTACATTCTGCTAAGTGAAATAAGCCAGAAAGAAGAGACTAAGTATTAGAAATTACATTTAAATCAGATACCTACAATAAAGTTGTAGAGACAGAAAGCAGATTAGTGCTTACCAGGTGGTGGGAGTTAGTTAATGAGGACAGTTTCATGCTGGAAGATAAAGAAGTTCTGAGATGGATAGGGTGATGGCTTCAAAACAGTAGGAAAGTACTTAATACCACTGAACTGCACACTTAAAAATTGAGAAAATCACAAATTTCACATTGTGTCTATTTTACCACACATAGATAATGAATGCATGATTGGATACTGTGATATAATTTTCCCACAGGTTGCTCAAGATTTTAGAAAGTAGCAAGCTCCCTGCTGGCCCTTCAGATGTGGAAAGACTGGCTCTGACTTCTCTAAAGTCACCTGGAAAATTTCTGTCTTTTAAGCACCCAGGCTGGAAGGAAAGTCCTTGATCCTTGATGGGGGAAGGCCTCAGCATAGCAGCCTTGTGCTGTGGTTAACAGCTGAGCGTCACCCTAATCATTGCTATGTATAGAATGCCCGAACCTAATAGAGACTGAAGCAGCATTCCCCTTGTATTGAAGGCTTTCCCATATATGTTCTATTCCCCTGCCAAGGACCCTAGAAATGAGGGACACAAGAGCACCCTCTGGAAGCTCTGGTTCACCCTCCACACACAAAGGAGGCAGAGGGGGGAAATAACCCTGGAAGAACCAGACTGGCTCACTGGCCTGATGGATTTCAAAGATATTTCCACAAAGGAATGTCTCTCTGATCCTGTGGAGCCTGGAGAGCCACGGAGATGGTCTGAAAACCTTCAGCCTACAGGTGTTGAGGTTCTTGCCACAGCTATGATGCTTCTTATACCACAAGCCGCTTTCCTTTATTGGGTTCATGTATCTCAACGTGGAGAAAGCCTGTTTTCTGAATGTTCTCCAGGGCAGTTTCTGTACCTATAAAGCCCACAGCCAGATCACGCACTGTTGTAAATGCAAGAAGGAGATAAGCTTGCGTACCAGATGATGTTGTTAACATGTGAAATCAAGCTAAGGCTATGTCTACTTATATAGCTACCACAATTCTGCCTCTTTTAAGCGAGTTAGCAGGAAACCCAGCCAATTAGTCCTGGAAGATTCAAGGCCTTGGTGATGAACTCTCATGGAAGTAAATAAGTAGACCATAAGATAACTGTTGCTGCTTTGGATTTCATCTTTCTGGTCAAGTTCAGTAAGAATAAACCATTGCTGTGCTTTTAGTTCAGTCACTCTCTGCATTTAAGCACTAAAATGAAAATAGTTTGAGACCGGTGACCTCAGACTCTTACCTGCCACTCAGTTATCTGTGTTGCCATGAAAGCCTTCTGATTCATACATTCTAAGTGGAGTTCATTCAGTTTTGCTGCAGCTTTCTGGAGCTTTTCCTGAGGGAAAAATTGGGTGAAAAAAGTCTATTTGAATTTGATTATTTGATTATTCATTAAACACCTAAAGGGAATCCTCGCAGTCTGAGATGTTTTAAAATAACTGAATATTTCTAGAGTTCTCACACTTTGCCAGAGAGCCTGCAGAGGATCTGTACGTGCTGTGACATATGAATACTCCAACCCACCTGAACAGGTGGTAAGGTTTTTGATATCCTTTATAGGTTGTGGAAAAAGAGGCATGAATGCGAGTAAGTAACTCACCTACAAGGTGTGTAACTGCTCAGCAGTGGGTCAGTGAAACCAATCTGCTGTGTTGACCAAGGCCTGACCCATGTCCAACACCACGTTGTGACCAGGGAAATGGTACCTAGACATGGCTCATGTAAACCAAAATCTTATGCACTAATGTGCTGAGATAAACAATACCAATTGCAGGTGTTTTGCATATGTGAACCTTTGAGGGGCTTGTAGGTGAGCCATATAGATTGATGAAGATATCACCTGAATTTAGGAACATTTAATAAAGTTGGAGGAGTTTTGACAGGTTTTGAAGAAGGGAACCATGAAGTCAATCTAAAAGGACTTAGTGTCCATGCTGAAGTTATGAGTTATTTTTACAACTGGTTTTATATATTTTTTTGGAAAGGGATTTGAAGCTGATATAAACTGTTCACCATCTTCAAAAGTAAAAAAAAAAAAAAAAAAAA